GTTGGGCGATGACTCGAGCCTCGTTGCCGACAGTGGGCCCCAAAACAGGGAAGGCACAAGGACGGCGGCCTTAGCGTCACTTTGTTCTTAATGTTAGTTGGCTTGCGCTGCAACTGCCGTACTCTCTTCTCTTCATCCACCTGGCTCCACTTGCATGACAGAGGTGAGAAGATCGGATGTACAATAGGCCCTAGAAGGCTGGCGCGGTGTGACCACGCGCCAGTGCGTGCCACCCTACCACCTTGATCTGCAACACAAATAATCAGGGTATCGCATAGCAAGAAGGGTGGGGGGGGGGCGTGGCTCGGATCCCAATTGAGCGGGAATGCCCCAATGATTACAGTAAGGAGCCATTGCAGCCTGACTTTCCACCGAGGGCTGAGTTACCCTGTCGCGGTCAGTCATTAAAGCCATGGCTTTTAGCACACCGTGGTAGATTCGAGCGTGCCAGGTGGTTTATGTTGAAGAATACACGCGTAGTGCTGTAGAATTCATGCTCTCTTCCAAGCACCCGTACATTATCCAAGGTGATCCTTCATCTAACGACGGAATTGGACGCAGTGGCTGACAAAGGTAAGCGGCCGGTCAGCCCATACCCCACTTATGAAATTGCCCCCCCCCACACACACACACAAAAAACACCCCAACTTCATAGGTGGAACATCATCTAAGGCTACAACTATTTGAATTGTAAGTAAATACACGCTGTGACGTCTAATTTCTCCCTCTGGTCCGCTGGAAGCAACTGGTATGACTGAATTAGAAGCGAAACACTAGCCGTCCCCAAATTACCTTTAATATGTCCTGCAATACTCGGGGAACCGTCCTGTTAACTGATGTCAAGTTATTTAAATGAAACTAGTAACCACACGAAGACAACTTTTTTAATTTCGCTAGGGACTAATGCAATAACTTTTAGCAAATCGTACGAACTGAAAAGTTATATGTTTAGAGCAAAAGTTGATATGAATATTTGAGACGAGGTCAATCAGCTTCAACTAGAAAACCACGTAGTATCCATAAAAAGCCAACATGTTATAATTTTCGGCCTGAACCTATAAATTGTCATTCTGAATGGGTTAATCCAAGAAAGCGCACCATTTTCTGAGGAGAGTAAAAGGCAGAAGTGTCCAAATTTGAGCATCAACCGAAAAGCCAAGCGGGAACGCCGAAGGATCCAGTAATCAGCAGAATTCCCAACAGCCGTGTCGTAAATCGGTAAAGTGCCTGGGCTTTTAACTGGTACCTGTGCTGGCAGCATTTTAAATTACACAACCGGTGACTGCGTGGGGTGTATATGAGTCTCTTTCCAGAGCAAAATGGAGGTCAGTTTCGTGTCTCAGGTGATTAGCATTTTGTAGCCGAGTTCTTTATTTGGATATACCAGCACAAGGGGTTGGGCTAGCGCAGGCTGACGACGACATATCAGCCATTAGGGATCATTCTAGTGTCCTCCTTCCTGTTCTCGGGATATCAGGTAGAGTAAGAACTTCACAGGGAGCCTAACATTCTAATGAACATTTTGCGAACTATTCTTTGCAGACTTCATAGTTACAAGGTCGTATTAAAAACGTGCGGCGTCTAACATTAATATAAATATTTTGCCTCTCTCACATACGTCATATTAGGAATCATATGCTCCTAGCGCTAAGAGTGGCTAGAACAAGTACACAGCCAGTCTTACGACCAGCCAATCACAGACGTTCACAATTACCCAATCAGTGCATTTAAACGACACTGACGGCCTCAGAGGACGCTTAATCATTCACACCAAAATCACCTTAGCCGAAAATAAGCGTACGGGCACAGAGCCGGTTGCGCATTGGGAGTTCTGACCACCATCGAGATTCCGCACAAAGCAAATGCGTCCTACCGATTTATTCCTTTTTTTCGTTCTTTGTTTCTTTGTTTCTTTCTTTGTTTCTTTCTTTCTTTCTTTCTTTCTTTCTTTCTTTCTTTCTTTCTTCTTCTTCTTCTTCTTCTTCTTCTTCATCTTCTTCAGTGGTCTGTCCGGAGATGAAACTACGCAGACTGGCAGTTGGTCTTCGTACACAGACAAGGCCGCTCCGTATCCACATTATGTGGGCAGACAAAAACGCCAATTGTGAGAGCGAGTTGGAATAAAACCCCCTTGTTTGTGTGTGATAAAAACGCGGCTGAGAAGACAGTGTTAGGAGGGCCTAACGCGCGAGTCGTAACTCGGGCTGTCCTGAGGGCACGAGAACAAAGGAATCGGACAAACCACCGACGCATGCAGAGCGGGCAAAAAGAGCAACCTTGAAAGGCCAACGAGCGTGCACGAAAGGACAACCACGGGCCGAGGTCTGCCATCTGTGA